CCTAGCTCTCTCTGTATGGTAAGCTGAAACTCCCGTGCTCACTCTAACCCAGCCATGAGGGTGGCTGTTAATAAGCACTCTCCTATAGCCTACCTGCTGAGCTAAATGTGGTGGCAAGCAGCCACACCCCTCCCAAAGCTCCCTCACCCAGTCTGCTGCCCCACCCACTATGCTTGGGGTCTCTGCTAGGCATTTTCCTTCTGCCTGCAAGGCCAGCATTACCAGTCTGCCTCTACGCCATAGGCTCTTGTCACTGGTAGGATGCCCTACCCCACCCCACCCCCACCCGTCTGCCACACACACTGCCAGTCTCCGGGACATCCTAGGAGAGGGAAGGCAAGGCTGAGTAGGAAGGAATACCAGTGCCCTAGAATCAACGGACCTTTCTAAAAAAGCCAGCACCATGTGACTGGCCAGTGCTGGATTCCCAAGATGAGTAAGAGTCCCTGAGGGAACCTGAGCCAAGGCAGAGGGCTTGCAAACGGTCGACATGCTCATTGGTGTGCCAGCTGAAACACAAAACAAGGGCTTGTCTTAGCAGGGAGGGCAGGGTTTTGGGCGTGACCCTGGGCAAGTCGCTGTATCTGTCTGTATTGTGTGGGGAGTAACATACCCACCCACAAGGTGTGAGGATGAAAGAGGGCACGCATGTGCTCTCTTGCCTCGACACAGGGCCTGGCCCGTGACCGAGGGCTCCTTTAATACTAGTTGTGACCGAGTGTTGTAGGAAGGGTGGAAGGGACATCCAGAGAGGCTTTGGAAATGGGGACATTCAGGCTTGGCTCTGCAGGATGAATAGGAGTTTGCAAGGAACAGTAATGGAGAGATAACAAACAGCCACCTTCTCTTTAGGGTGGAGCCCTCAAGAGGTATTGGTGGCAGGCTGAGGCTAAACAGGGGCTGCTGCTGGGCCACAATGAGGAAGTTTGCATTGTGCCTTTTGTTTTGCTTCTGCTCTTATTGGTACCCATATTGCTTCGAGACAGGGTCCTACTGTGTAGCCCAGGTGGGCCTTGAACTGGCCATCCTCCAGCCTTACAGGCATGTATCATTACACCTCGCTTCTGGGTTGTTGTCGATTTTCACATGGGGTCAGGGGAGGGTGACCCACAGCATGCGTGAGGATGTCAGAGGACAACTTGAGTAGTCATTTGTCTCCTTCCCATGTGAGTCCCAGAGACTGACCTCGGGTCATCAAACTTGGTGGCAGTCACCCTTAGCCACCGAGCCATCTCACCAGCCCCTGGTGTAAAAGGTCGAAGTGACCTTGTTCGTTAGAGACTTTTCCCATAAACAGACACGAAGAAGCGAGTGGCAGCCAGGCACTATCCTCCCCCCACAACCCAGGGTCCCTTTCAGCTGCCTGCTTCCTTGACCTGTGTAGGTGCCAAGAGGTAGGCGTGTCTGGGTTATTCCATGCTGTTCCCCTTTTGTTTGCACCCTGAATCCCTGAACCTCTTCCCTGGTTGGAACAGACACACCAGTCTCTTGAGTGACTCCAGAGGGTGATGCTGTGACCTGCCTGCCTTCCTCCCCAGGGAAATGCCAGCAGAGCAAGCCTGGGTGCTGGGTGGCTCCAGCTGAGTCCCCCCTGGGTGGTGGGAGGGCACATCTGAGGCTTTGCTTTGTTTTCAGTACTACTGGGGACTGAACTTAGGAGAGTGACTAGCAGCTGTCACTGGCCACCTGGGCTTGGAGCCACACAGCACTGGTGTTCAAACGCCGGCCATCACTCGGTGTGTGTGGCCTCGGACGAGGTGCTTAGCCTCTCCGAACTGCAGGCTCCTTCCCTATGAACGGTCACGGTTTGGCCAGCTCCTGGGTCCCCGTAGGTACCATTGTTTACTCTGTCCTCTACCCTCAGTTGTGACTGATCTTTCCCTCATCCCTCAACCTTCCTTACTGGGCTCCTGAGGGGGGAACTGTGTCTCGTTTGTTCTCTAAGGTCCCAGCACTGGGCTTAGCCCCCACCCATAGCTGTTCTCTGGCCCTGGCAGGTGGGGGATGAGGTGCAAGGAGGACCTTCCGGGCAGGAATGGATATCGGCAGTGGACGGGTTTGGAGTTGGGTCTTTAATGCTTAGCTTAGCCTGCCATGGCTCAGGACTGCACCTGCAGAGGATGGAATCTAGGTTCAGGTCCCACCTCTGTCCACATACCAGGCGTGGCTTTGGACACTTGTCTTAATTAATTGAGCCTCAGTTCTCAAGTGTGGAAAGTAGGTAATGAAAGTCTCTAACCAAGAGGATGAGAAGGGCTTCAGCTACTGACACTAGCAGATGACAGTAAGGCAAAGCAGGGCAGGCCCCACCCACCCTCCGCCATGCACCTTTGCCCAGCACCATGGCTAGCTCCTCATCAGCCTGCGCAGCGTTGGATGTTCAGGAAACCCTAAGCCCCACTGACTCTTGGTCCACACAGACTTGTGTATGGAAGGTTCAAGGGCTGCGAAGAGCTCAGCCACAGAGGATGGGTACCTCTTCAGGCCCCCAGAGATAGTTTAATACCCAGCCACACTGTCCCAGCTTCAGCCTTTGACCTTCATTCGTTCATCCAACAGACAGCCTGTGCCTTGGCAGGTGCTGAGATGCTGAAGTGAACAGACTAGAACTGGGTCCTAGGCACCTCAGGTTCACAGAGGCACTTAGCCACAGTACCAGGGAGAGAGGTGGAACCGCTCTGCCAGCACACAGAGTGATCTCAAGAGGACCAGGATTGTGGCCACTGCCCGATTACAGGAGATGGTTTGCACAGACCTTCACCCCACAAACCTGACCACCACTATCTCCCTCTCCAGGGCCATCTCCCAGCCCAGCTAGCAGGGCTGGTCTTCTGATGCAAATATTCTGAGCAGACTGTGGCAAGCTTTAGACACTGGCCGTCTGCACGCAACCAAGAACCAGGAGGAGTGCATTCCTCTAGAGTCATGGGGCGCCCAGGCTCCCTCTGATGGAACCCTGTGCACACCTCCCTGTGCTAAGGAAAACCACAATGGTTCATAGTGACATCCAGCCCCCACGGCTGGAGAGATAGCTTGGCAGTTAAGAGCACTTGCTGCTCTTGTAGAGGACCCAGGTTCGGTTCCTAGCTCCTACCTGGTGTTTCCCAATCACCAGGGGATTGAATGTTCTTTTGGCCTGCAGGCACTGGCTTCCATATAGAACACATACACATAAAATAAAAATAAGTAAAATTTTTTAAAAAGAAAAAAAAATGCTGACCCTGGCTGGAGCCTTGCCTCCCTTGTGCTGGTGTATCTGAATTCTGTGGTCCTTTCATACATGTATCCCCTGTACACCATTGACACATCTGACCAACCCCGCTGAGCACCCACTTACAGGTCCCGCCAAGGTCACTCTGTCAATCCTTCGCTTACTACCTGCTGGCTAAGGAAGCCCTTGCTTCTCAGGAGGACTCTCACTGTCTCTCTCCTGTCCGTCTTCGCATCCTTTCTTCCCACTGTGACCACAGGGAGGTGGCAGCTCTCCAAGGCCCTGTAGAAAGCGAGTGTGACCCCATCCTTCCTAGTGGCTGGTGAGAATCATCCCAGCTCCAAACATAATTGGTGAGAAGGCCCGCTGGTTCCTAACAGAAAACACTCTGGAGTATTGTACAGAGAGCTTTTCTGTTGCTGCTAAGAATCAAGGGAAAGGCTGGCACTGGGCTGGCAAGAGGTGTCCTGCTGGGGAAGGTATCCCAGAAAGGCCTGAAGTTAACATGCCAGCAGACTGGTCATATGTGTGCTGGCTCACTGGAGATTAGGTGATGTCCCTTTTTTTTTTTTTTTTTTCCAGAGCTGAGGACCGAACCCAGGGCCTTGCGCTTGCTAGGCAAGCGCTCTACCACTGAGCTAAATCCCCAACCCTGTGATGTCCCTTTTAAAATCTTGGTGGGGCCGGAGAGATGGCTCAGTGAAAGAGCACTTGCTGCTCTTCCGGCGAACTCGAGTGCTATTCCCAGTAACCATAATCGGGCAGTCTGTTACTCCAGCTCCAGGGGATCTGACACCCTGTTCTGGCCTCTGTTGTACCCTGCACCCATGTACACATACCCACACATACATACACATAAAATAAAAATAAAAAAAACCTCATTGCTGGCCAGTGTGCTTGGTGATTTTATGTCAACTTGATACAAGCTAGAGAGGAGGGACTCAACTGAGAAAATGTCTGCATAGATTAGGCTGTATGGAAGCCTAGAGAACATTTTGCTTAATTAGTGACTGATGAGGAAGAGTCCAGCCCATTGTGGGTTCTGCAACTCATGGGCTTTTAGTTCAGAATTCTATAAGAAAGCAGGCTGAACAAGCCATAGAAGCAAGCCAGAAGCAGCACCTTTCCATGACCTCTGCATCAGCTCCTGCCTCCAGGTTCCTGCCCTGTGTGAGTTCCTGTCCTGACTTCCTTAGAGGTGGACTTTTAACTACCTGAAACTTTAAGCTAAATAAGTCCTTCCCTCCCCCAAGTTGTTTTTGGTCATTGTGTTTCATTACAGAAGTAAAAACCCTAAGACAGGGGCTAGAGAGATAGCTCAGTGGTTAAGAGCACTGGCTGCTCCCTCACGGGACCTGAGTTCAATTCCGAGCACCCACACGGCAGCCCACCACTGACCGTAACTGCAGTTCCAGGGGATCCGAAACCTTCACACAGACATGCATGCAAGCAGAAACCCTAAGACAACTAACAAGACGGCTCAGCAGGTTAAAAACAGTCCTGACAACCTAAGTCTGACCCCCAAACCCATGGTGGTAAAAGTTGTCCTCAACCTCCACACTGCACTAGCGTGCACTGTGCTGTGTTTGTAGACACACAACAACAACAACAATAACTATTTTTACTTAAAACTCACCAGTAACCTTCTTTGGGTACTTTACTTGTGGATGGAATCAAGGAAGCCAGCGCTCTAAAGACCATTAAAATTCTGAATCCCTGGTATCAGTCATGGTATCTATATAGCCTGTTTCAGAGCCACCCATTCCATGCGGGTTTTCTCTCCTTCCAGATTGTTCTCTGGGGCCGGACTGAGAAATGCCTGAAGGAGACGACAGAGGAGATTCGGCAGATGGGCACAGAGTGCCACTACTTCATCTGTGATGTGGGCAACCGGGAAGAAGTGTACCAGATGGCCAAAGCTGTCCGAGAGAAGGTCAGTAGCCTGCGCATGTCTGGCTCCGGCACACTGGATTGAGGTGGTCTTGGGAGGGGTGTTGCCGTGTGCAGGGCACCTCTGGGGACTCTCCATGAAGCTGGTCCAGGTTACCTGGGCAGGGACTGCAGGTGGTAACACAGTAAGAGTAGACCTCTGTGTTCCCTTGGACATTTAGGCCCTATTCGTGTCTTTCTGAGACCAAGAGGAACGAAAGTCCCATTGCCTTCTGGGAAAATCTTTTCCCTAATCCCAGACATGTTGGCTGGGTAGGTCAGTGAGCGCCAAGGGAAAAGAATTCACCTTGCTACATATTCCACTCATAGTAACATTAACCATTTTTATGTGCATAACCTCATTTATTATAAATATGCTATGTTCCGGGTATAGTATGTACCATAAATTATTTCTAATCCTCAGACACAGCTGGTATGGCACCAGCGCCATTTATAAACAAGACTGATGCTCAGAAAGGCCATGTGGCTGGTGGTTGCGGAGCCTGGTCTGTGCCCCTGCAGGTACAGCCCACAGGGACTGGCTGCCCTCACGGCTCCACAGCCCCCTCTTGCCCACAGGTGGGTGACATCACCATCCTGGTGAACAATGCCGCCGTGGTCCATGGGAAAAGCTTGATGGACAGCGATGATGATGCCCTCCTCAAGTCCCAGCATGTCAACACCCTGGGCCAATTCTGGGTAAGGGTTTTTCTGGCCCAGAGCCAGCCATCGGCAACGCAGGGAGCCTAGGTAGGGTGGCGGAAAGAGAGCCTTAGTGGGACCAGGGCTCATGCTAGCAGGGATACTCAACGGCAGAGTGACTAGGTAAAAAGGGATGACTGGCAGGGACACACAGGAACTTCTGACCGGCTAGTCTAGTGTTCTGCAGTGGGAGGCCTCAGCCCCTCCCGTGCTAAAGGCTGAGTCACGGGAGTAACTGTGCAACCAGAGTGGGCTGTTCTCTCCCGTGCAGGAGCGCAGGGCTTGGCAGAAGCCGCATGCTCCACACTGACCCCTGCTATCCATCCTCAGACCACCAAGGCCTTCTTGCCACGCATGCTGGAGCTGCAGAACGGACATATCGTGTGCCTCAATTCCGTGCTTGCGCTGTCGGCCATCCCCGGCGCCATCGACTACTGCACATCGAAAGCCTCGGCCTTTGCCTTCATGGAGAGCCTGACCTTGGGGCTGCTGGACTGTCCGGGTGTCAGCGCCACCACCGTGCTGCCCTTCCACACCAGCACCGAGATGTTCCAGGGCATGAGAGTCAGGTCAGTGGGTGAGGCCAGCCACCTCTCCTGGGTCAACCCAGCCAGTGGTCTTCACAGAAAGAGCCCCAGAATCCCCTGGCCTTGGCAACTCTCACCTCATTTTCCATTCCCAAGGCAACAGGATACTAATTACACTGTATATTTACTTTTGTTACTGTAACAAACAGCCTGCCTAAAGCAGTTTAAGGAAGGCAGGGTTTGTTGAGGTTACACTCTGTTCTGGTAGGAAGACATGGGGGCAGGAGGCAGTGCGTTACACTGTATCCACAATCAGGAAGCTGAGACAGCTGGATGCTGGTGCTCCGCTGGCTTTCTCTGTTTTGTTCAGCCCAAGACCGGCTTCCCAGATTTATTTAGGATCCTGCTTCTTAGTACAGGGGCCTCCACAAAACACCAGTCCTGACAGTGCATAGTGGTAGCGGAATACTACCCAGCAACAAAAAAGGAGACGAATATTGACGTGTGACCTGCATAACAAAGCTCATATCTGTGCTGCTGAGTGAAAGAAGCCATGCGAGCACACTCTGCACCGTTCCGTGTGCATGGCATTCTGACCAGGCAAAACTATGGTCCTAGAGACAGGATCAGTGGTCTAGGCCTGGGAAGGAGACCGAGGAAACTTTCTGGTGGTGGTGAAACAAGCAAAAGTTCATTGAGCTGTACCCTAAAGATGCGAGCATTAATTACAGAGCCAGGACTGGTGAGGTGGCTCAGGGTTAAAGGCCAAGCCTGACAATCTGAGTTTGATCCCTGGGACCCACATGGTAGAAGGTGAGAACTGACTCCAGCAAAGTGCCCTCTGACCCCCACATGCATTCTGTGGCACATGTGCCCTCACAGATACACACAAACATGTACACCACACACACACATACACAAACACACAACTTTTTAATTAATAGATGCAAATTATAGCCCCATCTGAGGAAATCCCAAGACCCACTCGGGCTTAGCATTTATGCTCGAATGCCAGGACCTGGGGCGGGCTTCATTGCCAGTCTGTACAATGGGGTGATGACTGACGTCACAGGCAATAAATGGCATTGATCTGGACCATCATATTGCTACACATCACACACCTAATTTAGGGGAAGACTTGTTGCCTCTCAGAGCTGTTCCTTGCTCATCTATGAAATGGCGAGAACAGTATTTACCTGGTAGCTTGCTGGTAAAATAGTGAATATTGGGTGCCTAGCACAAACCCTAGGACACACAAGTTGCTCATAAAAGAAATGTTTCCTCTGTTATTTTTTGAGACAGGGTCTCATCTGTAGCTCATGATGACCCCCAACTCACAGTGATCTCCTGCCTCAGCTACTTGAGTGCTTGGGATTATAACAGTGTATGACCATGCCGGGGGCTGTTACTATTTTTACCAAGACTAAACATGGTCTTAGGTGAGTTTTACCAGTTTTCCTAGAAGACAGTTTCTTTAGAGCTTGTCCAGAAGTAGCTGTTTCTCCCTGGCTCACAAACACATTTATCATACACCCTGAATATCAGGGAGGTTATACTCATGACTATACTGATGTTCTGGGATCGAATCCCAGTTCTGTGTAACCCCTCCCCCCCCAGCTAGTGACTTGACTTTTCTGTGCCTCAGTTTCCCTGTTTATGTTTTCTAAAGTGATGGCAAATAGCACCCCCTCATTCACAAGTTGGGGAAGTGCCTTGTGGGAATTGACTGGCTCTGTCCACTTTGTGAGCCCTAGATGGATACTAGCTACCTGCAGCCATTCAGGTGAGAGCCAAGGGCGTGGCTGGAAAATGTATGCTCACTGTTATCCCACCCACCGTGGACAGAAAGGGGGAAATCTTAAAAGGTCTGAGGCCTCTCCGTTGTGTCCTTCTGCAGGAAGGGTCCCCCAAAAGCCCATACAGCTGGGCCTTGCTGTCCCGGCTCTCCTCCCGCAAAAGACAGTGCTAGAGACTGCAGCTACAGCCTCCATCACTGGAGTTGCGGCATCAGTGAGCTACCTCGGCATGCACACCTCTGGGAAACCTTCTAGGCCGTAGGTTTGTGGGGCTCTGAGAATCACTCTCTTAGCCTGGAAAGAAAACCGAGTCAGCAAAGTAGCACCTGAGTCTGATCTCCAGAACCCCCATTTATAAAAACCCAGGCAAAATAGCATACACTTGTCGAGCGGCACTGTGGAGGCAGAGACAGGCCAATCCCTAGGGCTCGTTGGCCAACCAGAAAACCAAAGCAGATGATGACGCCTGAGGCATGATACTGCAAGTTAACCTCTGAGCTCCACACACAGACATGTTAGGGACCGGCACACATGTAAACACTCCTGCACAGACACACTCGTATACACACACACACACACCAACCGAAGCTGGGCTTGTCACACAGGAGGCGGTGCAGGGAAGGGGTGTAGTCTGTGAGCCTGAGGCTGCCCCTTGCTCAGGAATGGCATCACACCTGATGACTTAACAACCTTTAATCTCACTCCTGCCACAGCGGATCACAAGCCCTTGGAGGGTCAGAGGTCAGGGCCAGCAAGGTGTGCACTATAACTTCAAACTGAGGGAGGCAGGAAGAACCAAGAACAGAGACCCTGGAACATTGGAATAGTGGCCAGGAGTTCACCCGTGTGTCGCCTGCTGCGCTATGCCTGTTCCCTGGTCCATACATTGGAGAGAATATCTGTGCCTGGGCCCAGGACTCAGGGAGCACCATGGTTGCACGAGTCTGAGGCCAGGTGCCTCTGAACAGGCATGGGGAGGCCCTGTTGTCTGAGTATGACTTGTTCGCCCGGAAGTTCCATGGGAAGACACTTTGTAAGTGTTTGACTGATTGGACAGCCAACCAGCAGGCTGAGGACCTCCCTAGCAGAAAGGCCCAACAGAGGAGTGGGGCAAAATGACAAGTATAGAGCACCTACTGTGTGCCAGTAGCTGCTAGACTCCAAGAGTGAAATGGATGCAACTCATCGGGCCTCTGCCCTCAGAGAACTGATAATCTGGTGGGGGGAACAGGCCATTAACGAGGAACAACCTGACAGGCCAGGTCATTCCAGGCGTTTGGCATGGTGAGGACAGCTAGAAAGGAGCAAAGAGCACAGGCCACCCAGCCGTGTGGGAGGCGGAGGTCTCTTAGCAGAGGAAGTAGGAAGAGGGAGCAGGCAGTAGGGTAAAAAGGCCGAGGGCTGGACCAGGCTGTGGAATGTGGAAGGAGTCTGGCATGCCAGGAGCAATGGAAGGCTGTGGAGAATGAGCCTAGCAGGGTGAACTCTAGTGCCATGACTCTGTCAGAGATACTCCCTGCTAGCCATGACTCCACTCACCTGGCGGGACCAGTGGAGCAAGACGGAGGGAACGTGGAACTCTAACGGGCACGGACTGGGAGAGAATCACATACCCTCCCTCACAGAGAAGAGACCAGACAATGCCCTCACAAACTCAGCCACTCGCTAAGATGCCCAGCAGAAGGGTCAACCCTGGCAGAAAGGTCAGTTTCTCTGGGAGAAACCAGTATTTTCCTGCCTTAGGTTTCCCAACCTTTTCCCGCCATTGAAGCCAGAGACAGTAGCCCGGAGGACGGTGGAAGCTATGCAGCAAAACCAGGCCCTTCTCTTGCTCCCATGGACCATGAACATCCTCATTATCTTGAAAAGGTATGGAATGGGGGAGAGACAGCTCTTGGTCAGGTTCAGACCCAACTTTTTCTTTTACTCCAATGGGAAAAAGGCAACAGGCAGAATATGTGAATGTGAGATCGATTAGTCATGTCTGCTGAGGGTAGGAGGTCAAGGAGTGGCACCTCTGACTGCCCTGGCCAATAAGGCAGGCTTGGTGGTCCAAGGATCTCTGTGAGATGTTTGTTTATGTTTGAGGCAAAGCCCACTGCAGCTCAGGCTTAATCTGGAATATACTTCAGTGCCAAGGTTGGCCTTGAACTTGAAATTCTCCTGTCTCTAGTACTGGGATTATAAGCATCCACTACCATGCCTGTTTAAAAATTATCAAGGAATCCAAACAGCTCTTGTTTATGTGAGTTTTATATACCGCTACTTACTGCATTAGAAATTAAAATAGAGAGGGGAATTAGATTTACACATTAGTTTCTATTTACTAGATTTTTCACTTGTAAAGAACAGTAACAGAGCGATTTGGTTACTGTGAAATTATCACAGCTGTTTCGTTTGCTTGCTTGCCTTTTCTGTCTTTTTAGACAGGCCTTTACTAGGTCTCCCCATCTAGCCCCAACCCATAAGTACATATTTATGACAAGCAGTTGCGTTTTCTAAAACACTGACAAGTAGTCAGGAGAGCCACTGGGCTGTGTTTTTGCAGATCTCTCCATTGTCTGGTTCAATCTGAAACAACTAGATCCTCACATCTGCTTCCTATTTCAGTGAGCTGGGCTAGTCCCCTGTAGCAAAACCTCTGGGAAACCCCACCGCACGTGCAGAGAGAATAAAAGGATAAGAAAAATGATGGGCTGGGGGTGTGGCTCAATTGGTCGAGAGCCTGTCTGGCGTACACAAAGGCGCGCCTCAGTCTGTCCTCCGTGCTACGTGAACCACGTGTGGTGGCTGCTGCCTGTAATCCCAGCACTTGAGAGGCAGAGACAGGAGGATCAGAAGTCTGAGGTTTATCCTCAGCTACATAGGCAGATTGAGGCTAGCCTGGTGATATAAGACCCTGTGGGCAGACAGACAGAGAAGTTATACTGAGGTGTTAAAATATCCTGAAAAAAGATCTCAAGCAGCCCCAAGAGTTTCTGGGCCACATTTTAAGAACCATAGTTGCACAGACTGTCAGTCATGGCCTGAGCTCCCAGGTAAGCTCAGTCTAATGAGAGCAGGGTTTTTCATGCCAAAGACTCAGAATTTGGAGTGGTGCCATGGCTCCAGCAAGGTGGGGTTCACTGGGAAGACCACCCTGGGATGTGGGCTTCATAACGCAGATATTTTCTCCTTTAGAATTTTTGTGGTGGGTTTTTTGTTTTCCAGACAGGGTTTCTCTGTGTAGCCTTGGCTGTCTTTATAGACCAGGCTGGCCTCAAATTCACAGATGTCTGCCTGAGCCTTCCTCCCAGAGTACTGGGATGACAGGCGTGTCCTTTAAAATTTTTTCAGCACTGAATTCACCTAGAACTGTCCAGACTTAGAAGAGCAAGACAAGCCGGTGCAGAAGGGGCTAGTGCATGGGGCTGGCTGTCCCGGTACGGGGAGAGCTGTGTCCCTGCAGCCAGGAGCCTGGCTCCTGCTTGTCAGGAAGGGCAGCCCCTCGTTCCAGGCCCACCCTGTTGTTACCAGACTCCCAGGAAAGCCGCACCGCTGGCTGTGTGGCGTGGAACAGTGGCAGCTGGCCCTGTGTCTTCCCTCTGACAGCCCCTGTGCAGGCAGAGGGTAGAGAGTAGAGAGCAAGGGAGAGGGCACTTGGAACAGCCACACCAGCCCAGCACACTGCAGCCTTCAATCCAAGATTGCTCTCTCACTGCCCAAGGATCCTCTGTAGGAGCAGGCACCGGGCTGCCACCAGGGGAGGAGGACCATGGCACAGATGGTAAAGTGTTTGGTGTGTAAGCAGGAGGATCTGGATTTGATCCCCAGCACCCGTGTCTGACCTTCATATGTGCACTGCAGCAAGTGAGTGTACACACACACACACATACACACACAGAGAGAGAAACAGAGACACAGAGAGACTGATTTCCTTAAATGAGGGCTGGAGAGATGGGCAGTGGTTAAGAGCACTTGCTGTTTTTGCAGAACATCCGCGTTCAGTTCCCAGCACCGACATCAGGCAGCCCTCAACCTCCTGTTAACTCCAGTTTCAGAGGATTCAGTACCCTCTTCTGCCTCAGTGAGCAACTTCACTCAAGTGTACAGACAGGCGCACACACATCCACATAGTTAAAAAAAAAAAAAACTTTAAAAAGACTTAACAGCAGCAGCAACAGAGGTGCTCGTATCTCATGTCTCTTTGGAAGCTGAGCCTAGTGTAGCACGCTGGCGAGGATCTTCCCGCCGCCTCCTGACGCGATGGAGAGTTCCCCACACAGGACAGAGCAAGTATGCCTGGCAAGCTTGCTTTAGCAATAGTACCACTCCCTGGACTGCTCATCAACCCATGACTGGGCGGATCCCCTCATGACCCAGTCACCTGTGTCTCGGCACAGACAGTCAAGTTTTGGCTTGCGTCTGGGAAGAGACAGAGCTCATGGAAAGCACAGGTGCTGATGTGCAGCCCTGTCTGTCCCCGTGCTTGGCCCTTTACCAATCGAAAGCGCTGATCCGAAGGGTTCAGGGGATGTTTCTGGAAGAGGAGCTGGAGTGTGGGTTGCAGAGGAGACGGGGAGAGTACCTGAGACCATTGTCTACTGCTGTTTGTCATTGTCACCGCTGACCCCACTCGTCGACCGCCTTACTGACCGTCTGCTCTTCTCCCCTCAGCATACTCCCACAGGCTGCACTAGAAGAGATCCACAGGTTCTCAGGGACCTACACCTGTATGAACACCTTCAAGGGGAGGACATAGAGGCCGGAGGAGGACATGCCTGAGGAGCTACGGAGCCTGAGGGCAGCCACAGCAACCAGGCACACACCCATGTGCCCTGCATTGGCACGTCTATTGGGAGAGCAGGACCGTTCCTGTCCCCAGGGAGGATTCTGCAGTTCCCCAGGTCACCTCCAGGACCTTTGTGCAGGACTGATGGGTGTAACTCTGACCCCCATGGGGAGGCAAGAAGCCAGCCAGCAGCCACCCGACAACTTTGTACATTTCTCGCTCTGTAGGGTTTATTCTTAAGTTGCTTCTCCAGTCTAACCCACCCGAGCAGCCGCATCTACTATTTCCAGGAGAGTCTGCCCCCAGACCCTCCACCTTTGCCTGCAAGACCCTCTCATCCTCAGCTCATGCAAACTGGTTAAATGGCAGGAACGCAAAATAAAGAGGTGGCTTTCTCAGTTTCCTGTGCTCACGTCCTTGGGAGGGAGGCAGCTGGGAAGGAGCCTGTCCCAGCCACAAGCTCCATCCTGTGAGAGAGAAGGGGTCTGCCTCAAGGTCTACAGAGAGTGGATGAGGGACTGCAGCCCAGCCAAGGGGGCGGTGAGGGAAGGAGGTATGGCCAGGCCCCTCCAGATACACGGCTTCCCCGGTAAGATCCCCGAGAGCTAGTCCACGGAAGAGCTGAGCATGGCTGGAATACCATCTGTCCTTTCTTGGCCCCACTGGGCCACCAATGTAAGAGTAAACAGGCTGTGCTGAACACCTGCTGTCTACCCTGCGTGACGAAGCCAAGGTGACAGCAGCAGAAGATGCCGTTCGTCTGGGGAAGAAACAGTGACAGCCCGTCACTTAGCACAGCCTGTGGCCTGTTCCAGTCCCCACAGAACATCCAATGGTGGGCGAGGGAAAGCCCAGAGAGTAGAAGGAGCTGGCATGGTCTCACTGAAGGGCAGAGGTTCCCATGGTCCTCCGCTGAGACTCACTGTCACGCTGAGCAATTCAGTAAATGTCACTGACTCCAGTGATAGGGAGTGATCGGGCCAGCTGGCTGTAGCATCCATCTATGGAGCTTTTGCAGAAGAGTGGCAGGGAGCAGGTAGGGGTTCCCCAGACAGGGACGAGAAGGTCTTAGGCCTCTGACATAGGAGCTCCTTGAAAGCTGCACAGAGGCCACATAGACCTGAGCACCTCAGGCTGGACCCTTGTGCTCACAGCAAGGGGGATGAGATGACTCAAATGAAAGTGGGCTGGTTGGCACCTGCTCTTTATGGTGCAACGACAGGGCATAGCCAGGCTGAGACATGGTGCTGTCACTGTAGGATAGCAGCAGTCCCTGCAGCCGCTGAAGGGGGGGAAGGGAACAATACAAACAAAACTAACCAGCTCAGAGTGACCATCTGAAAGTACCCACTTGGTGGTGGATGTCACCCAGACATGACCCCCAGAGCACCAGGGCTTCAAACAGGGAAGGTGTCTGCACCACAGCCTCGACCTATTCATGAAACTGTCTTCGCTCTGGGAAGCCACGATCCAAGAGGAGGTGTCCCAGGAGCTAAATGTACTGTACTGGTCCATCCTCATGCCCTCCTCAAGTCCTGCCTGGAAACAGTGCGTGTCCCTTCCACCCCCACTTTACTGACCAAATCCAGTCATATGATCACGCCTGCCAAAGATCCAGGGAGGCTGAATACAGTGATTACATGGTCTGTCAAAGCATGGGAGAAGACTTTATGAGGGAAAGTTAGAATTGAATCCAGACATAGGGAGAAGGCAGCTCAAGGGTGCCGTGGTCCTGGAGCCCACACCAGTGCTGAGCAGTCTCTCCAGAGGCGGCCACCTGGATCACTTCCAAACACCCTTCAGAGCGGGATGTGGGCCTGGCCATGTCCAGAACTTAAACTAACATCTCTGACCCCTGGTCTTCATGGCAAGATAGTAGGAAGCAACAAGGAGTCAATCAGGACCATCCATTATCTGCCTTTTGGTCCTTGAGGACAGATGCCTCCAGTGCGTGGGATGTTACTACCTGTCTCAGCTCACTGTGGTGTCTGGACAATCTCCCAGAACAGGTGCCTGTGGATGGCTCTTAGGAGAGAGGCTGGGTCTGGGGCCATCTTGGTGGACAGGGAGAAGTGAGTAGGGCAAGGGGGGGGCTGTCTACTGAGCCTGGATTTTCTGACCATGTCTGAGCAGCAGGAGATATGTTTCTGTGCTCATGGCCTGCAGGCCAATCTTTTGAAGATGCTTTGATCATTGGAGTTTCCATAAAGTTGCATTTGGCCTATAAACTAGAAATGCAGTGTGTTATAGAATTATTAGTACTTAATATTGATTCATAAGATTAATGCAGTAGTTATTATTTAACTGGCTATTATTGAAATAAAAGACAGATTTTTTTTTTGAATAATCCTAAACCCCCTAAGCTACCTCATTATCTCCCAGCTGCACATCCCATCCAAAATTCCCATAAGTACTTGCACATGCTTCATTTGGGCTGCTGCTCTCCATCATGCCAGTCCTCAGAGCAAACTCCTCCTTGGCACGTGCTTCTTGTTCATGAGAACCCATGGTGACCTCCTTTCTCCTTCTTCCTTCTTCCTCTCTGCACTTCCGTCTCTCCCATAATCCTTCTGCCTTCCAAGCCCGTGAATTTTAGTTCCATCTAGCTCTCTTCTGCCCAGCCCAGGCCAATTTTATTGGCCAATCAGGGATTATTTGGGAGGCAAGGTTACACAGCATCACTTGGTGTAAGTGAGCGTTTGCTCATTGAGCAGTAAAGATCTCAGGGAGAGGGGAGGGAGCAGACAAGCTATTAACACTTGAAGTAGCTTCAGGTCAACCACAAGAGCAGTGAGAATCCCAGGGAAATAAGGTGGGTCACTGGGATGAGCATGGTCCAGACAGCCCCCCCCCCCCGCCCCGCCCAGGGCCTACCAAGCGTGATCATTGCCTTGGTAACAGGGGCAGCTCTTGGTTTCCCAGAATGCCAATGGTTCAATAGTTTCTCTTGGTGGTAGGGTGGGGCCTGTTCCCCACAACAGATACACACCAGCATCAGATACACAACAGTACCCCACTTTTGGTCTTTTTTTTTTTTTTTTTTTTGGATTGTTTCCCAGAGGAACCAGAGAAAAAGCCTTGGGCAGATTCCCAGGAGGCCTCTCTGGTGCCTTCCTGGGATGGTTTGACTGCCTGGAGAGCTTCAAGAGTGAGAGTGGAGAGCTAATTCTGTCTCTTTGCTTGTCCAAGTGAAGGAGAACGACAAGCGCCAACGCTCTCCCCCACCCCCCTGAGGGACGAAACACGCTGTGCCAACCCTGCAAAGAAGCTTTGGGTCCTGGGAAATGACCCAGTTGCCAGGCTGGAGGTTTCTCCCCAGCCCCAAGGAGAAACAGATCAAGCGTGGGTGCCAAGCTCAGGGAGGCATCAGACCTCAGCCCTGTGTGGCCCTGGTCCGGGGCAGCATGCCGTCTGGCCGGACCAGTGGTCAGGAATTCGGTCCTGTGGTCACCAGTAGCTCCCAGGGACCAAATACTTTGAGACACCAACCCCCCCTCCCCCAGGAACAAGCTGATGTCTAAAGGGAAGGAACTGAAAACCTCTGGGCTGACTCCAGAGGTCACCGCTAGACCCTCCCCCTCCCACCTGAGAGCCTCATCTGACGGAAGGAAGGCTTTACCTTTGTGTTGTCTCTAATTGATGGAAGACAAATGTGTGCCCCCTCCCCTGAGGAATGCCCTTCTTATTCTTGGGGTACGGGGACAGAACTAGGCCATAGGACTTCTCTCTACACGCGCCCCTGGCTTCAGGCAAAGCCAAAGGCGACAAATATCCGCTGACGCAGACGGAAGGCTGGAACTGCTCCCAGACACATCTTACTAAGTTCCCAAACATTCCTTGGGGCTTGGAGTGCAGCTCAGTTGGTGGGGTGCTTCTCTAAGCCCTGGGTTTGATCCCCAGTACAGTAAAAAAAAAAAAAAAAGAAGGTGTGGCACATGCTTTTATGCCTAGCCCTTGAGACATGGATGCAAAAGTTCAAGGCTATCCCTAGCTACCCAAGGAGCTTGAAGCCAGCCTGTATCAAGACTACAAACAAACAAACAAACAAAACATTGACTAGGGGCCAGAGAGACAGCAGATGTGAACCCTGACGACCCTCGTTAGATTTCCGATGTCCACACAGTAGAAGAGGAGAAGCAGTTCTCTTTTATTATTCTCTGACCTCCACATGTAACCCCACCCCACACACATGTGCACACACGATAGCTGGATCAGTGTAAAACATTTTTAAAACCAACACACCTGACTCCATATGTGCCTACATGGGGTAGGGCGGGGGGCGAGATACCTGTGCACGGTGGGACTGGGTTGGTTCTTCACACTCCAGGAGCCACTGTGTCTCATCTGTTCAAAACGCCAGCTCTCCACCTCTCAGGCCCTCTCCTCCAAGCAGAGCCAAAGCTTAGGTGCCCACCCTAAACTTCCCGGCTCCCTCAGCCCCACCCGGAAGCCAGAAAGCGCCTCCGGAAGTGAGGAATCCTGGGGTTTGGTGGGAGGGGAGGCTGTCCCGCAGCTGTGATAAAATACTCTGACAAAAGCAACTTAGGAGCAAGGGTTACTTCGGCCCATCGTTTTAGGGACAGTCCAGCATTGTGGGGAAGTCGAGGAAGCAAGACCCTGGAGCAGCTGGGTCACGTGACGGCTGCAGTCAGCGCCATGAACGCATGCGTGCTAGGGCGCAGCAGAACCTCGAGCAGAACCTCGGTTTCATACAGGCCACGATCGCCTCGCTAAAGGGTGGTTCCTTGCCCACAATGAAGGTCGTTCTTCCCATAGCGGACAATTCCCCACAGGTGTGCTCAGGGCCCTTCCTCCGGGGTGATTCTAGGTTCTGTCTTGGCAGCAGTTAACACTTCCTATTCCAGGAAGGAATTCATAGCTTTGGGGTCCAATGGGCTCAGCTACGTCCTCTGTGAAAAGATCTCTCGTGCCCGTTTGGCTCTTGGAGCTGGGTGACTGTCCAGCGTGAACCGAGCTAGAGAAGGCACAGTGAAGCTAAAGTGCTGACATGGTACCTGTGGTCCTCACAGGCCCCAGACACAACCTGATGGTCCCTCAGAATACCTGGACCACTGCCTTGGCCTGGCCTGGGGTGGTGACCTCCTTCGAGGCGTGCCTGGCTCTGACTACGGTATGATTGGCTGAGGCTCAGAAGACCCAGTCAGGAGCAATGACACAGGGGTGCGGAGAGGCTTCAAGGGAGGGCAGCTGTGGAGTTCCCAGCCTAATGGAAGGTGCTTTCTAGAAAGCAGGGTTGCAGTATTTCCGTGCCTAGTGGGCGCTAACCCAGCATTCGCGGCTCTGAGAAGCCCTTTGAGACTCACAGCTCCCTGTGGCTTGGGAAGAGAAGAAAGAGGGATGACTCCTCGGAAGGCACGGCCTTCCGTTATTGGGAATAACGGCCATCGCACTGCTGGGATTCGGCTCTCCAAACGGGGCATGCCCAGGGCGCACAGAAAGCTTCAGCAGCTGGGCCCACACAGGTTTATGGACTGTTTCCTAAGGAGCCGAGTCACCTGTTGGGAGCACTTGGTTTTCAGGCCACTTGTTTTTTCTTTGCCACAATTCAGGGCTGTGGGAGTGTGGTGGCTTAAATGAGAATGGCACCCGTAGGCTCACAGCGTTTGAATGCTTGGTCCCCAGTTAGTGGAACTGTTTGAGAAGTTGCTGGAGGAGGTGTGACATGAGAATGGCCTTTGAGGTTTCAAAAGCCCGTAACTGCTGGGTGCGGTGGCGCAGGCCTTTAGTCCCAGCACTCAGAAGGCAGAGGCAGGCAGAGCTCTGTAAATCTGAGGTCAGTTGTCTACAGAGTGAGTTCCAGGGCAGCCAGAGTTTTGCAGAGAGGCCCTGTCTCAACAAACAAACACCACAGGAGTCAGCACTGTTTGCCACACATATCAGTGGGTCAAAGGTTCAGGAAGCTTTAGCGGCCTGGCTCCCAGGGACAGAAGATCCAGGAGCCTTTCTCTGTTCCAGGGTGGAGATCCCTAATCCTCCAGAAGGTCTCAGGATGCTCAGGCATCCATGCCTCCCTCCTGGTAAGATACCCAGTGTCTGCAGAATTTTCTAGCAACACTCCCACCCCCAAATCCTTATCATTCCTTTCATTTTTCCAGGTTCACAAGACAAAGGAAACAAGCAGTTGAAGAAGACACACGCTGTGCTCAATCCAGGCTGCTGCTAGGATGTAATTGGATCCTGCCTGGGAAGGTGACTTGGGTCTGGGCAAAACACCAGACCAGAAGAGGAGGGAGGACCCAGCTTGCGCTTGTGAGCTGCTCCACCCTGTTGTGAGGGTAAGATGAGGCTGCACACTCCAAGTGCCACACTGGAGCCCAAGGGCTTCATCTTGCTGGGGGTAGGCAGGGGAGGGTCTTTATCATACCAGACTTACTGGCCTGCTGCCTGCTCTGTGCGGGAGGCCGAATGAAGAGAAGCCATCTTGGCTGTCCATCCAGACCAGCTGAGAGCAGGGAAGGAGGCAGGGCAGGGGTGGGTCTGGAATTTAAGGCAATCCATACCTGGCTGAGCTTTAAGTCTTGGTTCAGTGGGACCTTGAGCTTCACCTTAACCTGAACTTAACCTTTGTAAGCCTCAGTTTCCTCATCGGAAGGATGGAGCCTCTGAGAGAAAAATCAAAAGAGAAATAAAAATAATGAACTAACATACTCAGCTCTCCTAGGCATCAATTAATAATAAATGTATTTCTTATTACTTTGTGATAACAGCAGCGAGTCTGTGCTTGGTAGGACAGATCCAGAGCTATGTGATGAGCAAGGAAACAAGTCTAAGAAATGGTTGCAGTTGGGATTTGCACCCCAGGGTCTCATTACAAAATCCCGCTTTTAATCCCTGGTCTCATGTCTTTGTGAAGAAGCCATCCATGTGATGACTCACCAGCATCTTTACCTGGCCCAACCTGGACACTTCCTGCCACATCTCAGCCATGGCATTGCCTTCACTGCCGGAATCTGAAACAACTCCAGATCAACTGCAGCAGGAGGGACCAGCAGGTGGACTTCCAATGGCCTTCTGGGATGTTCTGTGTTTAGAGTGTGCTGGCCCCAGCCCTGCCGATACACTGCGGGAAGCTGTAGAATGTACTTCTTGCACTCTCTCTCTCCCCTCCAATCCACCTTCCTTCCTTCCTTCCTTCCTTCCTTCCTTCCTTCCTTCCTTCCT